TGTAAAATCACCGCATGGCTTCCACACCCAGGTGAAGTTCATAGACTTCCTGAAAAACCACCACCAACCAAAAAAATCTCAAACAATCCAATTTAAAAACAGGCAAAGTACCTGAACAGACATTTCTCCAAAGACATATAAATGGCCAATAAGCATATAAAAGATGCTCAACCTCACGAATCATTAGGGAAATGTAAATGAAAACCACACCTCCTCACTCATTAGGATGACTACTAAAAAAATCCCCAAAAACAAACAAAAAAACAACACAACAGAAAATAACAAGTGTTGCCAAGGATGTGGAGAACCTGGAACCCTGTATAATGCTGGTGGGAACATAAAATGGTTCAGTCACTGTGGAAAACAGTATAGTATGGTGGTTCTTCAAAAAATTAACCATATGATCCAGCAATTCTCCATTTGGGTATATACCCAAAAGAATTGAAAGCCGGGATATCTGACCCATGATCTGAGCAGTACTATTCACGAAAGCGAAAAGATGGAAGCAACCTAAGTGTCCATTGATGGATGAGCAGATAAACTATGAGATATATCTACACGTATGTATACACATACACACACACACACATATCAACAATATTATTTAGCCTTAAAAAGAAAGGAAATTCTGACACATGCTACAACATAAATGAAACTTAAGGGCATCATGTTAAGGAAATAAGCCAGTCAAAAAGGACAAATAGCGTATGATTCCACTTATGTGAGGTAGAACAGTCAAACTCAGAGACAGAAAGAATGGGTTGCCAAGGCCTGGGGGTACGGAGGAATGGGGAGTTATTGTTTAATGGGTTTAATGGGTTCAGTTTTACAAGATAAAAAGAGTTCTGTGAACACTATGGTGGTTATGGCGGCACAACAATGTGGACATAATGTCACTGAGCCATACACTTAAAATGGCTAAGATTTTTTAACGTGTATTTTAAAAACAAAAAAAATAATGAAAATTAAAGGATTAGAATTCCATTTGCATATGTATTTTTACATTGCTATTTTAACCAGTTTATGAGGGAGGGATGATGCTATCTAGACCTCAGTCTCTACTCTGAGATGCAAACATATTTGTGGAAATTCAACTACCTTTTTTCTTGAAAAGCTTGCATTTTAAAAATTTCTAATTTGAAAAGAATTAGCTGTGTAATAGAAGCACAAACAAAATTTCATGAGCCTTGCTTTAAAGAGAGCAACCTACGTTTGGTCTTAGTAATAACTAACATTGTTTTATACTGACCGCCAACTACTTTATGTGTCAATACTATGAGGGACACCTCTCCTTCCCACTTCCATCTCCACTATAGCAATATTTCCTAACAAGTCCGTTATCCAGCCGTTATACCATTACCAGAGTGACATAATTCAAAATGTATTGAGTGCCTATTTTGCTAGGCACTGTTCTAGGTGCTTTGGATAAAGTAACACAATCAGACACAGCCCCAGCCTTCAGGGAGTTCAGTCTGGTCCAGGAGAAAGAAAAACCAAATCATAATTTCAGGTACCAAAAGTGCTACCAAAACAAAATAGGAAAAAGGCAAGCAAGAAGCGGTAAGCTATTACAGAGAGAAAAGAAATCAGGTAAGGCCTCTCTAAGGTGACTGGTATTTGATATTTGACATCTGACAAGTAATCCTCCACCCCCTCAACTCTACCAGTTTTAGAATGCCTTTTTTTGTTTGTTTGTTTTAAGATTTTATTTATTGGGGCATCTGGGTGGGTCAGTCCGTTAAGCGTCTGCCTTTGGCTCAGGTCATGATCCCAGAGTCCCGGGGATTGGGCTCCCTGCTCAGTGGGGAGTCTACTTCTCCCTCTGCTCCTCTCTCAAATAAAATCTTTTAAAAAAAGGATTTTATTTATTTGAGAGAGAAAATGCACGAGCATGAGTGGGGGGGGCAGAGGGAGAAGCAGACTCCCCACTGAGCAGGGAGGCAACGCAGGGCTCAATCCCAAGACCCTGAGATCATGACCTGAGCAGAAGGCAGACACCTAACTGACTGAGCCACCCAGGCGCCCCTAAGAATGTCTGTTTTATTGGAAAAGTCATGGTGATGTACTTCTAGAGGCTGCATCTACAACTAGCAAATATTTCATCATCTATGAGAAGTGACTCTTCGTGGTAAAGTATAAAATAATGAAGTAATAGGGAGCCAGACATAAGTAGCAAAGGAGAAAATGAATTTCGACCTCCTTTGGTTTGTTAATACTGTGCAACTAGGGAAAGTCACACCCAAGGGCGGTGAGCATTCATATGCTCAGCAACAACCTTCTTCCAGGTTCTTTCAGATCCTGGCCCCAAACCTTCCTGCTGCGCATTTCTCATTCGGTCATTCCCTTCAATTCAGTAGCTCTCCAGTTAGGCAATCAAGCTGGAATGAAACTCTCCACTGTGGCAACAAACTACACACCTCACCATTCATATCTCCCAGGGTTTCCCCACATGCACTGGTTTTCCAAGAAAACCAAGTACATTGGTAAATGCTCTTCCCTTTACCTGAATTGCTTCCCCACCAAATCTCTCACTATACCTATCTACCAAAGTCTTATCCTTCAAAGCCCAACTCCTAGAGCTATGACATGACACTATAAACTGGGCAATTCTTTAATGAGAATCTGTACAAAACCTGAGAATTTCTTCATTTTGTCCTAAAGCCAAGTACAAGTAAATTCTGGTTACACTTATTTTGGAAGCATCTCTTTCCTCTCTGTTAGCTTAAAGAAACTAAGATGATTATATGAATATGAATTTGATAAAACTAAAATAAGAAGAAATGCATTCCTCCATGAATTACACTAAATCATTACAACTTAAGTCAGATCTTACCATTTCTCTGCTCAAAAGCCTCAGATGATTCTTATCTCAGGCAGAGATAAAGTGAAATCCTCCTAATAGCCTGAAAGTTCCTGGTTGTTCTGGTGCTCCCTCCCCCAGGTCTTCCCTGGCCTTATCTCCTACTACTCCTCCTTTGCTCACAATGCTCTAGAGCACACTGGTCTTTCTAACTATTCCTCTTAACAGGCCAGCATTGTCCTCTTCAAGGTCTTCTACACTTGCTGTTCCCTCTGCCTGGAATGTTCCCTTCCCCAGACACTTGCTGGGCTCACTCCCTCACCTCCTTCTAGGCTGCTTAAATATCAGCTGATCGGTAAATATCTCCCTGCTTGCCCTATTTCAAAATGCAATACCTCCCCATCCCTCTCTCTAGCCTTTTTTTTTTTTTTACCTAAATCAGTAATCGTCTTCTAACATATAGTATAATTATTATCTCTCTTTCCCCAACTAGAAAGTAAGTTTCAGGAAGGCAGGAGTCAGGCACAGAGCAGACGTCAATAAAAATACTCCTTGAATGAATTGCAAATCAGACCATATAATGCCCCTTCTAGGTAAAAGAAAATACAACCTACTTTTTTTTTTTCCACCGCTGAAAATCTAAGTTAATTTTTGTATGAAATACATATTGCTCACCTCCTATGTGCCAGAACTGGGCTTGGCTCTGGAAAGTTAGAGTGGATTAAGAAATAATCTCTGCCCTTTAGGAGCTCTGGGATGGGCATATGGAGAATAGACACAGAAACATCACTTACAAAACACAATATACAACCAAAGGAAATTGAATGTCTACCTAAAGGACATGAGAGCAAAGGGGGAATGCTTCACTAAAGTGATGAGGAAAGCTATAATTCCCCCAAACTCTCAACTAGCAAGATGATTCCTCCTTATATTATTGGTGCGTATGCTTGCAACTCCATATAAATTATTTACCCGCATCAAATAGGCTCTTAAATAGGCCGCAAAAAAGTTTGTGCGACAATAGTGATGTACTCAAGGCTGCACAAAGATCACTGACTACGTTTTTACCGTCTTCCGATTTGGCAACTTTTACCTATCGGGTCCCCCTGATTTGGAGGCTTGCATCTGCCAACTGCTGCCGACTTCGGTCAGAACCCTCCTTGTGGCTATCCCTAACCGGAGCTCGGCACCCTGCAAATCCCTTTCTTAGCGGGGCGGGCGGGCGGGTGCCGCCTCCGGAAAGCCGCCAACTGGGCCACAATGAGAGTTATGGAAGAAGCGGGAGTCGTGGGAGGGCGACGAGGTTGGGAAGGACCCCTGGAGGCCTCTGCCTCGCACTCCCACCCCTCCCGGACCCCTGGGCCTCCGGTGCCCCGAAGCTCCGCAGACTCTTTTGTTAAGCGAGGCCGCGGTTCCCTGGTCCCTGCTAGGCCCCACAGTTGTCTCCAGTGGCCCCAAAGGTAGCGACCCCGAGACCATACCCACCTCGCACAGACCTGCCACTCTGGCTGCAGCGGCACCTGATACTACCGCCAACGTGGAGAGAATCCCACCGCCAGAATACGCGCGGTCCAGGCCGCGTCCGCCGCGCTCTTTCCTCTCCGCCCCCTTCGCCGCCGCCGCCGCCGCTTCTCGGCCCGTTGCTGACCGGGGGGAGGGGAACGCAAAGCTGACATGCGCAGTGCAGAGAGCGCGGGCCGATGGGCGGGGCCTGGGGGGGCTACGGCTCCCGGAAGGCGCCCTGGGCTCCGGACCTTAAAGCTCCAGAACGCCTCACAGACTTCTCACTCACCAGACACAGCTGCTTGGGGGGAATGCTGGTAGCCCAGGAGGTGGGCCTAGGGGTGAAGAAAGCGTAGCGATGACAGCCGTCTAGAAATCCCCCCAAAAAACGGCTTGGGCGGAAACCACATATACATAAAATTGTGGACTCCCTAAACTCTGGTCCTTTGCAAATACGACCTAGGCAACATTTTTCCGCATGCCTCTGGCCACGTGGTCTCATAGAGCATGGCCACCTTTAGCTTCCGGAGCACCAGTTTAGAGTGATGACAACTTGACTGAACCCTAGTGGAGAAGGCTGGGATCGGCGTGGACAGTTCCGGCCAGGAGGCCGGGATTATGTAATTTTCCCAGCAGCCCCACCTTGCCTCCGCTGGGCGGGGGAGGAGGAGGTCTCGCGCGGTTCCTGGGGCCGCATTCCGCTCCCCGTTCCCCCCCGCCAGCCGCGCGCAGGCGCGGACCGTCCGCACGCATTCTACGTAACGGATGGCGGAGACTACGTGAAGAGTGGCTCAGCGTGATTGATCTACCTGATCCGGCTGTGTCCTAGAGGGATCGGGGGCAGTAAAATCGCGGTGATCGCTCAGGTGGCAGTCGGGCCGAGAAGCGGCGGCCGCAGGAGCGCTGGGCCGGTTTCTAGCCGCAGTACAGGTACGAGACGGGCCATGACGCGTTAGTCGGTGGGGCCGGGCCAGGCCGAGCGGTGACTTTAAGTTGCGTGGCCTAGCCGGGTCCCGTTTCCCACCCAGCCCCCCTGAGTCAGGCCCGGGGTGACATGGATCGCGCCTTCTCACCTTTCCTGACCTTCTTAAAAACAGAAAACAAACTTCGTCCACCCCAAGGCCCATTTTCTCTTGGTCTACGGGGTTGGGGTGATTTTGACGGTTTTTGAGAACTTGCTCGCAGAGCCATGGGCATATGCCAACTAGAAGGGCAAAGTTACAGGAAGCTTACAGTGTGCAACAAGAAGAATGGAGTATAACCGTTAGGATGAATTGATTCTCCGTGGTGGGAAAGACTAGATAGACCCCAGTGGCTGTTATTAACAGAAGCAACAACCTCTGTGGTCAGTCTTCTCAGGTTTTCTGACATAAGACGGTTTTTATCCAACGGGTGTAAGGAGACTGGAGAATGTCTACATGTTTTCCAGAAGTCTGGTAGTCTGGCAGTTGTCAGAAAGGCCTAATCTAAAATGACAACAAGGAATGATTTCCCCACTTACTCCTCTTCAGGTTTTTAAGTCCAGACCCAGTTACTCAGAGACTACCGAGTGAGTTAGGGAGATAATCAAACCAGACTTGTCAGTGCTTGTGTTCCCTGCCCCAGGACTCTCAGGACTGGGTGGCCTGGCAGGGAGCTGTGCCTTTGAAAAATGAGATGACAGGTGCAGCAGAGAAACTTCTCAGAAGGAAGGCCAAGATATAAGTGGCTTGGATAATTTTAACTTACATAACCTTGAAGAGGCCCTGTTACAATGCTGAGTTATCTTAGAAATGTTTCTATGTGTGAACATTCTAAGTGGAAGTTCAATTTGAAATGATCAGACTTTTTGTCAGTTAATCAAGTTGTCTGTGCCAATGTTAATCTTTATTTGCTTCTATTTGAAAAGGTATAAAACTGAGATCTGGAAAGGGAAGCACTAAAAGTTTTTTAAATCTTAAAGGGTGTTCATAGGCACAGGGCTTGAAGGAAGTAATGAGAACTAATATTTATTGAATGCCTTCTATATGCCAGGCACATATCTCCTGTAATACCAACTACATGCTTATGAGACAAATACTGAATAGGTGTCCCTTTTTTGTATGTGAGGAACAGGGAATTTTAAGTAATTAGTCCAAGATCATATGGCTTGTAAATGGTAGAGCTAATGTTTTAAACCAAATGTAACTCCACCAAAGTTTGTGCACTTTTTCATATTTCTTCCACTTTTGAGTATAATAAAAGATTATTAAAGGAACTAGAGATGTTTGGAGACATATCACAAACCTCTTTAAGGTTAGCGTTGAGAAGGCAGCTATGTTTTTCCATAAAATGTCCCCTGGTGCTGGGGCGCCTGGGTGGCTCAGTCGTTAAGCGTCTGCCTTCGGCTCAGGTCATGATCCCAGGGTCCTGGGATCGAGCCCCAAGTCAGGCTCTCTGCTGGCGGGAAGCTTGCTTCTCCCTCTTCTGCTCCCCCTGCTTGTGTTCCTGCTCTCGCTATCTCTCTCTCTCTCAAATAAATAAATAAAATCTTAAAAAAAAAAAAAAAGAGACAGTTCTGTTCCCTTCTTAGAAATATGCTTCTCCTTTTACTTCTATGATACCACTTTGACCAGAGTCCCTTCTTCTTTCTTTTTTTAAAATTTTTTTCTTGTGATGAGAACTTTTTAACATCTACTCTTTTTTAAAAATTTTAAAAAACATTTTATTTATTTATTTGACAGAGAGAGAGAATACAAGCAGGCAGAGCAGCAGGCAGAGGGAGAGGGAGAAGCAGGCTCCCCACTGAGCAGAGAGCTCAGGACCAGACCCAGGACCCTGGGATCATGACCCGAGCCAAAGGCAGATGCTTAACTGACTGAGCCACCCAGGAGCCCCTCTTTTTTTTTTCTAACCATTCCTTCTTAGTTTCCCATTCCGCTTCTTCCTATTATGCCCATCTCTTAGCTGTTATGATTTGTTTCAAGAGTTTTGGTGTTTGTTTGTTTTTTAACCTAATTCTTAATACTCCCTGGGGATTTTATCTATTCCAGCACCATCTCTATTTCCATGTTAGGCTTCTGTCCTAAGAACTCCAGACATATTTCAAACTACTTTCTTTTCTCCCTCTATAAAATTGGTAATCCTTTTTATAGGGATTTTGTGAAAATCAAGAGATAAATGTTAATCATCTAACATACTACCTGAAAACACTCCAAGCTTTTCAACAGGTACTAAATTTAATTTATTGCCTCCCCCCACCCAATTTTTCCTCCTTTATTCTTTATCTCAAGGATGACTTTGTTTAGCTATGAATCAAGCCAAAACTTGGAATCATCTGGATCTTCCTTTCCCATATTCCTATATCCAGTCATTTTATGCTGACGAGTATAATTCTTAGTATCTGTCAAATTGTTTTCCTGTTCATCCCCAATAGTACTGCCAGTTCAGTCTTGTTTTATCTCTTATCTATCTCAGCCACTTTTATTTTTCCTGCCTCAGGTACCCTATTCCACCTGAAGCCCAGTACACCCTATGTATGAGCTGTCAGGGTTAAATTGCAAATCTGATAGTGCCACTCTCCTACCTAAACCCTTTAGTTGATTCTAAATATCCAAACTTCTTAGTGTGGTATTTAAATAAGGATCATCATGATCTGGCTCCTGCTGGCCTTCCTAGCCTAATTTCCCTGACTTGGGTCTACGAACCCAGTGCTCCATTATACCAAACTTCTAAAAAATGTTATTTCAGGGCTTTGTGGTATAGCTCTCCCATAGACTGCAGCACCTCTTCTTGAGGACAGGAACCAGGCTTTTATTTTATTTATTTTTTTAAGATTTTATTTATTTGTCAGAGAGAGAGTGCGTGCACATGTGTGTGCACACAAGCAGGGGAAGCGCCAGGCAGAGGGGGAAGTGAGCTCCCAGCTGAGCAAGGAGCCAAATGTGGGCTGGGATCATGACCTGAGCCGAAGGCAGATGCTTAACAGAGTCACCCAGGTGTCCCTTACTTTATTTTTTTTAAAGAACTTATTACAAAATCACATTATAGGAAAATTAAAAAGTAAAGGCAAAATGCCCATTATCTTACCATACAAAATAACTACTTATATATAGATATACGCCCTTCTAAACCTTTTCGTTTTTGTATATTTGCTTTTTTTTTTT